ACCTCCTTGAGCGGGGTGAGGGACAGATCTGTGGCCCCAGTCCTCGGAAGGCCCCTCGCCTGCCGGGGCGAAATCTCTGGAGGGGGCGGCGCGGAGGCGCATTCGGCACCCGCCGTACTGTGCGGGGCTGCACGCGCCCGCCACGAGCTCGTTAAAGATCCAACGCATTCTACGCCCCTAAGCCACTGGCTGGGGCCCGTGGTGTCGGGTAACCGAGGTGACCGCGGGCTAGAGTCCCAGCGTCACCTGCTGGTCAATATAGGGCCTGCCCTTTCCAGAATAATGGAGTGCCCGCCACCCGGGCGCTCAGGGGTCCCCTGGGGCCGCTTGCTTCCTCAGCAGCCACCCGGGCAGTCGCACCCTGAGCAGCCCCCGCCACTCGCCTAGAACGACCCTTCCCAGAGGACGCAGCTGCAGAACCCAGAGCTGCGAAGAAAGGAACCAGGACCTGGAGGCGGGAGTTTCGCAGTCCCTCGCACTTCCCCTCCTCGCCGTGAGGTGACACTAGTCACCAATTTTCCCCCAAGTTTTCTCTTCCCGTTCAAACTCCCCGCCTCTCTCGCTGGAGACATCGGTCTCGCGAGAGTTCTCGTGAACTTACAGAACCGGAAGCAGAGTGTGGGTCTCTTCCCTTTTGCGGCCATCGTAGGATCGGCAGCGGGTGAGGTTATGCGGGCAAAGCGCGTGTAATCCGCAGCCATCCGTTCACGGGCCCGGTGGCTCCCGACCTTCGGGTGCCTGATATTCTTCCAGAGGCCGAGTAGCAGCCAGGGAGAGGGACCAAGATGGTCTCGATCTGTTTTTCCACTAGCTCAAGGGCCGTCCGGCTGGGGAAAGGAAGAAAAGGATTTTGGGACTCGGAAACGGGAGCTGGAGGGGAGAGGGCAAGGGGCTATGGGGTCAGGTCTGGGCAGTGTAGTTTCTAAAGAATGGTCTCGAAATAACTTTTAGCAAAGCCACTGAACTTCCAAACCGCGCTCGCCCATTGGAAGGTTTTTTGGACCTAAGATCTGTGCATTTTCCAGGTTCCGGGTGGGTGGCCTGACTCATTTTGGAGGGGGCTAAATGTGTTCACACTCAAGTTCGTAGAAGATTAACGTTGGTTGGTCTCTCTAAAACGTGGTATTTGAAGAACTGTGTTGTCGGTCTGCTTTGCCCTAACTCTAGAGATGAAAGCTGTCGCAGGACTTAGGGAGTTTGGAGAGTGTAAACAAAAAATTTAATAACTGAAATAATTGTATTACTGGTGGAAAATATTTTATTACATAAGCAAATGCTGAAAGTATTTAAAGCAAAATACAATTTCAAGCTTCAGTTGATAGGCCATTGAGTTTGTGATGGTGTTAACACGACAGTTTCTGTGAGCATTCTAAACTTTGACGATGAAATTGTTGCTTACTTGTTTGGAAAGTGAATGGGATTTTGATCATTTACCCTTTTTTTGACTTTTAGTCAAAATGAAGTTCAATCCCTTTGTGACTTCTGACCGGAGCAAGAACCGTAAAAGGCATTTCAATGCACCTTCCCACATTCGCAGGAAGATTATGTCTTCTCCTCTTTCCAAAGAGCTGAGACAGAAGTACAATGTTCGATCCATGCCCATCCGGAAGGATGATGAAGTTCAGGTATGTACTATGTTTATGTCATCTTGGTAAATGCCGTGCACACAGCATAGAAAAGGGATTGCATTCTGAGACAGTTGCTCCCAGGACAGGATTACAAAAGGAGTTGAGCCAAGGATTGAAAAACAAAAAGTGTGCTGCTTTTCAGTTTTTACTTCACTTTTACTCTTTGTGAAAATCAGTTGTCCCAAGCATCATATGGAACTATAATTAAACAGAACAAGAAAGGTAGTTCAGAACCAGAACGTTAGTTTGGGTTTATCTTTTTTTTTTTCCCGGTATGTTTGATCATTGAAGAGGCATTTGAAGACCAGTAAACAATCTATCTGAATCAAAGTCCAGATACATGTCATACCAATAAATGTAATAATATTTAAAAACTCAGTACAGAAGTTCTAACAACCATGGTTTCATGTGANATACCAATAAATGTAATAATATTTAAAAACTCAGTACAGAAGTTCTAACAGAACCATGGTTTCATGTGATTGTTTGAGTTTACCTGAAAATAATTTGTCAGATCTATGTAAGTGGAAATTTTTATAAATGTTTCTTAGCAGTAACCTGCATCAAGGATTTAAGCAGTCTCTAAAGTGGCTTGCGTATCGCCAATAATATTTCTTGAGGTTAGCACCCATTTAAGTAAATGAAACCAGTTCCCAAGTAGCGGTATGGATTGAGAACAACCATTGGTTGCTGCTCTGCTCCTGCTAAAATTGCCATTAGATTGGGAGGCAGTCTTCTCCTTTCAAGATCTCAATGTAAGAAAGTCTGCAACTGGAAAGAAATGTCTGTCCAGAAGCACTTTGGGTTGCTTCCCGGCAAGGTGGGGATCACTGGAATTCCTGGGTAGAAAACTGTTAACCTTTGGGAAAGGTGGTTTGTTTCCTTAAGTATTTACTGCTGCCACTCTTTGACTGGCACTAGGTTGGACACGTTAATGGGCTTTGAATTAAATACTTGTGCCTGTTCCCTTTGAGATGGAGTAACAATTTCCTTGTTTTCCACTTGGTACAAAAAGCCAGGGGCTATTAACCAGCCAACCACTGTTGGTGAACCATCAAGTTATAAGAGTGCACAGTCCATCACTGTAGATTTCTATGGGGCGTGGTTTATTTGTAGGTTAATCAAAGCCAGAGGTCAAATTATTGGCCCATTCCCATTAATAACTAAATCTTTGAAAATTGAAAGGTCCTATACATCTAATAGAGTGCTTGATTGTAAGATTCATAGTTTCCTGACAAGAGTAATCCTGTTTATCTACATATTTCTGTTATTTTTGAATTTGCGCTTAGGTTGTTCGAGGACATTATAAAGGGCAGCAAATTGGCAAAGTAGTCCAGGTCTACAGGAAGAAGTATGTCATCTACATTGAACGAGTGCAACGGGAGAAAGCTAATGGTACAACTGTTCATGTGGGCATTCACCCCAGCAAGGTAGGTGTTTTTGAGAATGCTTGAGAGGGGAGAATGAAATTAAAGCTTTTGCTGGGGAATGTGATTGCTCGTTTAGAGTAGTCCCATAGAAATAGATTTTAGATGTGCTGGAAGCCAATCTTAAAGCAAATACTATGAATTGAGTATTCTGATAACACTTAAAGTTTGTATGAAACCAAGGTGTCTTTCTTTTTCCTCTAAAGCTATTAACTGATAGGTCAACAACCTAACAACGAACAGATCTTAAAATCTAGGAAATGGGGTAATTTTTAGATGAAATAGAGCTTGTACCCTATTTGCTTTTGTGTATTAAACAGAATTGAGTGAGCAGTAAGGCAGCTTTACAACCCTGCAAAGTAGGTATTAAGCCCTTTACTAATGGGAGGAACCTGAAGTTCTGCCTAGTTCCCATTAATAGTAATATCTAAGCCGAGATAGAAAATCTGATCTGATTCCCATATCAGGTACTTGTCCTGGACTTTAATGTGAATTCTTCAATATTGCCGTCTTTAATTTCTCTCTTCTAGTTTTTTAAAATGATGTTTAATATTAAGGTAATGGTACATGGTGAGTGTTCAAATACTGAAGTGTTTATTTTTTAGATTTTAAGCTGGCACCACAAATCTTAATTTTTACACTGCAGAAAAGTCAAAAGACTGGTGCAGCCCTAGCCGATTTGGCTTAGTGGTTAAAGCGTCAGCCCATGGACTAAAGGGTCCTGGGTTCGATCCCTGGCCCTGGTCCAGTTCTTAACTAAAACCTGGCATGTTCATGGCCCGATTTTATCCTTGAAACCTCATAGTTTGCCACCATCACAATGTATAGCAGTTCTTTGCCCCTAATTGCTCAGGCCAAAATGTCATTTTAAGACCTGTTGACTGCTCTCTTGTTATACAGAATCCTATCTGTCTGTTGACCATCAGAGTGACCTGTAAGACCTTAACCTGATCACCCTTCACCAACCACTAAATGTCATCTTCCACTCCATGTGTCTACTGGCCTCCTTGCTGTTCCTACAACCATGCTGTTGAGGGTGTAACCACTGGTTAGCAGGATGACCTTGCAATTTGATAGAAATACAAATTCTGTTCCCAGTTCTACTTACAGTTTAGGGGATGGGTCTACTGACAATTTGGGGATGGGACCCAGGGATCTGTTTTAACAAGCCCTCCACTGGATTCTTAGACACACTCAAGTTTGAGAAATGCACACCTGTAAAAAAGTTCTCCTGCCTCTGGACATTTGTACTTGCTGTTCTCTTTGAGTTGCTTCTTCTCAGATAACTTCACTTTGCCCCTTTTTTTTCCTGGTGTCTTTTTCACATGTAACCCTATCAGTAGTGCCTCGCCTGATTACCCTGTGTGATTTAGCCCCTGTTCTCCCATCATCCCATCTCCCCATACTAGAATATAAGTTCCACGATGGCTGAGATTTTCTTTGGGTAACCATGCTATATAAGACTAAAATTTATCATGGTCTAGACCTAGTCTTTAGTGATTAGTTGAAATAAGATCTGTACTATGACTTCATTGAAGCTTTTGCAGGTAGAAGTATAAATGGAGGTTTTCCAATCTCGTGATTCTAAAGTTGGTATAGAAACAAAAATATATGACTTGGTCAGCTTGTGAAACTAGGGTGAGAGGAGTGGAATAGTTGGTATATTTTACAGTAGAAAAAGAAACAGATTTTCTAATAAAGCACAGAAAGAATATGAGGAAAAACCTGGCATCACAATGCCTTTTCCCTGTTGGTAGAGCGTTAATTACGGAACACTGAATGGGTTTGGGGCTGAAGAGTCATTTCTGGCACATTGAGTTAATCATTTCACGTGTGGCTGTTTATTTACCTTGGTTTGGTAAATGGGATTGAATGTGGGCCTTCCCACGTGTCCTGTACTGATAAAGTTTAGAAGTGTTTTTATTTTTTTGCAGGTAGTCATCACTAGACTAAAGCTGGACAAAGACCGCAAAAAGATCCTTGAACGTAAAGCCAAATCTCGCCAAGTAGGAAAGGAAAAGGGCAAATACAAGGAAGAAACAATTGAGAAGATGCAGGAATAAAGTAATCTTATATACAATTTTCATTAAAAACTTAAAATGAAGAGTCTTTGATGTATGGTGATTTGGGATACTACTTAGTTTCTAGTGGGTTGGTTTTCAGGGAAGTTCAGGTGATATTTGCTGTCTGTACAGAGGCCACACCCCTACTTTCTGGCTTCCTAAGTTTTCTGAAATCAGGATAGTGGTTTTTCTTGTTTTGTTTTTACAGCAGGCGGCAGGCAGCTCTTGGAGGTGCATCATGGGTCATTGAGAAGGCCTACGTGGAAAGCTAATTGGGAACACTGCCCCTGGGATCTGTCTTACTGCCTTCCTCCTAATATGAACACAGCATATTAAAAAAAATTTTTTGCATGGAAGTTTTATATTGTCACTGTATAGGAAGTCTTAGACTAGAGGAGCTGCTGTAACTGCAGTAGCATCTAGACCGCTGCTTCAAGTTGTTTCCGATACTCTTGAGAAGCTTCAGCTTCTGTGGAACACCTGAGGAGGCCCTTTACTATCTTGTTTTATGCATGGTGCTGGGTCAGTGTCAGACCAAAACTTAACAAAATAAAATCTTAAGATTGCAATCTAAAATACAAAGTGTTGTCTGAAATTCAAGTTCTCAAAGGATTTAGTAAAATGTTGTACAGTGTTGACAACACACGCGTCCCTGCCCTTACTCCAAATTAAGCAAACAAACGATTAATGCAATTTTCTCTCCCAGCTGGAGGCATTTATTATGAAGGCTTTGCAACCACGTAGGGAAGTAGGTAATCAGTTGACTCCTATACCGACCCCTGTGTCACAAACTGCAGCTTTCGCAAAGCACAGAGCAGCCTACAGACTGGGCAGGACCCCTGTGAAATACCTTGCTCCTGGCCAAGAGTAAAGGTTAGGCCCCGGGCACCTCCAGGCGGGGAGGCTCTGATCTTGGCCCCTGGAGCGTCCTTTTCCACTTCCCGGCCTTCCTCCTGCAAAATGAGGGCCTTGGTCTCCGCCGTCT